CTAAATAAAATTTGTTGCTCTTCTACTCTTTCTGTTGACGTTCGGGTTGTGTACGTGTAAGAAGCCGATTGTGAACATGTGAAAGGCCGAATATAGTTCGTTTCCCAGGAAAGTCTTTGGCGGGCACTGTTTTAAACAGCAAAAGCCAAAGCGCTACAAGCTGTTGGGGCTCTGTATGACCAGCGTTGCCAGGTTGACGTTTTTAACGTCATTTGGACGTTTTTTGTACCCTGTTGACGTTAGGACGTTTTTTGTGTAAAAAATGACGTTTTTTAACTTCCCAGTAATTTTTCTTTGTTACTAAATCTTATAAGTAGAACTGATTTTGAATTATTTTCTTAATAAATCTTTACAATCTTTGTGTTTTGCTGCAGCTGCTTGAAAAGATTTTTTTCTCGATTCTTGGACTAAGGATTCCGTGTTAAAAGGCTGGTTGTGTAAACACTTGAGGTTACGAGGCTTGCTGTAATGTTTGCAATTGCACATTAAAAGCCAATTCAGGAAGAGCCGATCTATTGCAGTAGGCACGCTCGCAAAAGCATCAAAAAAAGCTGTGCAGCTTAAAACGTCAGAAAAAAGTAGGCTACTTTTTTAAGACTTCATTGAAAATGTAATGAACACAAAAAAGACTGAAATATTAGGTCCATTCAATAACTTTTCCATTAAGTACTTGCAGCGAGAGCGTAAAAGAAAAATAGAGAGTAAAATTGAGAGCAAGAGAAAATTTTCAGAAAAAGTTATTGAACGCAAAACTAGTAAAAACTTGCAACTTAAGCCATTTTGAAACTTTCTGACGGTTAAGTTTTGGCGCGCTATTTTCTTTTTAATTGGGAATAGTTCCCATCGTCATAAAAATAAAAAATATACAATAGCTTTAAATTTTTCATCCATATTTTCATTTCACTAATTGAATTTGAAACATAACCTTACTTTTTGACTCCTGCAAATTCATGCTAGTAAAATTTTTACTTGCAAGAATTTGCAGCTCTCTCGGGGTGTTACGCTCTCGAATTCGCTCCCTCTTGCAAATATTTTGGGTTATTGAATGCATTCCCAGTAAAAACTTCCAAGTACTAGCAAAAACTCGTAACAATTTTTTGATATTGAATGGACCTATTGCTATGCTCCTTCTTAGAAGAACGTAGTTTAGCATTTTCGACAACCGAGTCCCTAACCAAATGTCTACAAGAAAAAAAAATATTATTAAAAATCAACGCGATTATTTAGCCCCTTTAAACTTGCACATTATTGCCCTGAAATTTAATGGACTATCAAACTGCATACTCAAAAAAAATTCTAAAAACTCTGAATAAAAAGTTGAAAATCTAGCTGAAAATTTGCAGATTGTTTATAATTTTTACACAATTTGTGTGGATTTATATTTTGTTTTTTAATGAGCTTGGCTTTTATGGAAAAATAATAAACATTAAATAAACGAAAGAGAAACAGCCAAAATCGATCGAGACTACTTTGAGATTTTCGGGATCCGCGGCACTAATTCGGAATTTTCGAGACTTCTACAGGATTTTCGGAATCTTCGGGACTACTTCGGGATTTTTGGGCTATTTCGGGATTCTCGGGACTAAAGTGGAAAGTACAAGATTATTTTCGATGTATCATATTATGAATGTGCACGCTCTCTTCCTTGTCATAAATGTTCGCACATGTATGTGTACGTATATGTCGTGTAAAGAAATGCCTAGCGCTTTGCTTCCACTTATTACGCCCACTTATATTTTTCAGTCCTACAATAACCTACAAATTAAGGCACTTAAAAATAAAAGTCCCTACAAAAGTGTTTTTGCCCAAGGGAAATTTTAGCAGTTGATAAATAACCCACAACGGAAAACACAAAAAGATCGCACAGAATGATTTGCCACGGTGACAAACACTCTTTGCTTGAGAGACGAGTGTTTGTGTCAGTGGTAAACACCATACGGGACACTTGGTGACGGTTATTTTCGATCTCTGGTAATTAATTATGACTGCCTGCAACAAGGAAAGGCCGAGCTCATCTAACTAATAAAAGAAACTAATTACAAGGTATTCATTACAGGCGAACCTTTCCAAGAAAACACCCGGGAACTAAGCAAATCTCAGACCTTTATCGTCCGTGATTCCATAATTCAAATTATTATAAGAAACGGGGTACCTTTTAACAAAATAACAAGATTTTAAACTAATTCTGCTGGCAGCCACGACTTTCAAAACAGAATTTTTTTCGAAGTTTTCATTCCTAGAAAATAATTTATTTGCCATATCCACATATTCACAACCTCGTTATAAGCGCACATTTTTCAACCAATTTCGCATCCGCGGATGTCTAAAATTCCACATTCGCAACATCCCTACTTTGCACCAGGAAGCAAACTTTATACTTAAGATCCTTTCAGTTGCTTCGTTTGAGTGTGGTATTTTCACTTTTTCATTTTCATTTATTCATTTCAGTGATTATAATTAGTACAAGAGTGTGGTATTGAAAAAACAAAATTACACTTGTTTTTTTAGTTTAGAAACGTACAACTATAATAAAATTATTTTCTTCTTATTTTTTTACAGGGCAATTTAAATAAGTTCCAACTTATGTAAAAACCTTACAGAGATCCTAAAGTAATTTGTTTGTGTAAAAGAATATTACACAAGCAAAATTCATGGGGTAAAATTACTGAACACCGAGTTACCGAGTACCAAGAACGGTGGGAAGACCCCTCTATTACCAATTTTTATCCTCGGAGTTGAGAATTCAGTACAAATCAGTACAAATTTTGAAAAATCGGGCCAATAGCGTACTGATTGAAGAAATGAATAAAATCAGTACGAGAGTTGAAAAATCAGTACTGTACTGATAAAATCAATCCGTCTGGCAACCGTACTTTCGCATTTAAAATGTTAGTAAAGATTATCCAATACGGACCATGAAAATACTTTTTTGCACAGACCAAAGTACCCAAACACAAAAATTTAATCCAGGCCATATAATTTTTTTTTGCTTTTGATTGGTTGTTCTCAACGAAAAAAACATTATTAAATAAAAAGTTACTGGTTACGCGTTTTTGAAAGAAGATTTTGCAGAGATGTTAAGTGGCCCGTCTTATAGACAGGGTTCTTCTGCTGAAGAAGTATATTTTATACACGCAAATGTAAAAGTGGAAAAACTTCAGGACTTTTATAAAATATGTGAAATTTAAGGCTGCGTTTCTTTATACATTCCGGATAATACCATTTCACAGCCGGAATAAACAGAATGCGTTTGAAATATACGTTAACATATCATCAGGAACGTTCTCAAGAATAAGTAAACAAAAAAGTTTATTCCAAACGTTCAGAAGGAATAAAGAAAAGCAGCCTAAAAGTTGTGAGCAGCACTTTTTTCGTTCGGTATTTGACACATTTTTTAATACCTGCTTTTTTTTGATTCCTCAGAACCTACAAATGAACGTCTAAAAACCCCAAACATTAGGTTACATCGCTCAAGAGGTAGTACTTTAATAGAAACTAGATAATAAGCGAGTTGCACTAGAAATTTCTTGCTTTTCTCGAGTGAATTTCTAGCAGTAAATTTCATTTAAACCGTTACTTTTGTTATAAATAACTATTTACTGATATTCGCACATACGAGTAGTAGTAATGAAGATATAGAAACCGGACTTGACAGTGCAGATGCTTTGTGGAGGCAACAATATGCCAGTACACAAAATGTCAGAAGATTTCCCCAGTCCAATAGTAACTAGATCCCCACCAGTCCAAAATCAGAGAAATGTAATACTTTTAAAAAACTACTTTATTTCACTTTTTCCATTAGAAATCTATATCTAAGATGACGAATTTAGAACTGGTTTGGAACTATAGAAAAAGGAATGCAGAACGAACTAGATCTTATTTCTTGAATTTAGAACTACTTCGGAACTATCGAAAAGGGATGCAGCGGGGGCTTGTTTACTTTACATAGATATGAGTTTGGCGGCCTTTTTGTTCAAATAAGCTTGCATTCTGCACTACGCAGATGCTTTTTCATAGCTTGGTAATACAAAACAAAAATTTGTGTTAACATTTTAATATCCTGGGATCTTCTGGAATCTAACCAATAACGACAAGCACCTCTGAAAACTCAGCAACAGCCAAAGGTATATAAACGTACATTTATTGCAATCATTCAAACATATTTACATAATTTCAAATTGAAAACACATTTCTTTGAAAATAATTTAAAATCGCACAGATGGAAGAACCAAAAATTATTTTTTCGTCTGTCAATTTTAGAACTGTGTCGGAACTATAGAATTTCGGACTAGTTCGGAACTATCGAAAAAGGGATGCACCGGGGGCAATTGACACTTCCTAGGAGATCGCCATGTTAATTTCGCCAGTTGTTTGCATGCAAAAGAGATTTATCGCGAACCAGTACTTGGTCTAAATGTACTAGAAGCGCAACAGTTCAGAACTAGAGATTTTCCCCACAGAGTATGTATGTACGTATGTAAACTCTCGCAAGTATCTGCATATATACGTATGTATGTGTGTATAATAAGTGTTTGGATACGAGTAAAGAACATTCTTTACATGGTACTTTTACTTGCAAACTTTACAATCTAATGCAATAAAAGAAAACTTTTCTAATTAGAAGCCATTATGCGATCAAAACGGCAATTATCCTTAAAAACAGTTATCTAGGTTTTGAGTTGACAATACGAATTAATTTCATAGCATGCAAGCGGCTCTGTTGACTGCTGCCTTTGAAAAATTTAACGAACCTTTTATTACGAGCTAGCTTACCAATTTAGTGGAATGAAAAATTTGAAGACGACTGAAATACTGGTATCTACCACTATACATATGTACATACATACATATGTACTACAAGTATGTATGTATGTAGCTACCTTTGGCATGGTGTATCTGCGAGGTTCTTAGGAACCATTTTAAGAAAAAAATCAGCGATAATGAGGAATTTCTGAATAAGCAAATTTTTTATTGATGTGCATCGTTTTTTTCTTATTCACCTCAGCAAACTGCCAGTATATGATCTATATGTTGGTGGCGGCGAGTTTCCACGATCAACACCATTTTGTCTGTCACGATCCAGTAGTAATAGCCTGAAAAAAGTAAAAAACGGCAATTAATTAAAAGCTACAGGATCAATGAACGAAGTAAAGGTAAATCTGCAAAGATGGTCTTCAAATATATATATTACTTTAATTTAATTCATTAAAACCTTTATGAATATCTGTATATTCTCCAGGCCAAGACAAAGTACCTTCGGACACCTTTATTACACAGAGAGTTCTCTTGAGCCAAAAGTTTTTCCTATCTCAAGTCTTAAGGAGAGTGAAACCCGCTTTTAAGTGCTCCCGCAACACGTTCGGCAAAAAATTTCTAAAAAATCAACAGTAATTTTTAGCCACGTGAAACTTGCACAATATTGCACTAAAATTGAATGGGCTATAAACACTAGTGATATGCGGCTAAACATGTCGGCCCCTCGAAGCAGGCCTACTACGAGGGTCGGATCAACCTCCACCATTCTAAACTCGCGTCCGCGAATCCTGAGGTCCGCCTGACTGCCAGTGGACTTGACGTTGCCCTCATGCAGGAGCCGTGGATACTCGGCAACAAAATCTGCGGGCTTGGGGTGAAGGGCTTTAAGCTAATTGCCGCACAAAATGCAGGTAAGACTCGAGCTTGCATATTAGCAAGGAACAACTTAAACATCTTCCTGCTTCAACAGCTCAGTGATGGCGATCTGGTAGCGGCAAGCATAGAGCTGGATAAAATCAGCTTCTGGGTAGCCTCTGCCGACATGGCCCACGATAAGGACGTACCACCAGAGAAGGTTCGGACATTGGTCAAGGAAGCAGCCTATAGGAAAAAACAACTGGTTGTCTCCTGCGACGCTAATGCTCACAATTCGATGTGGGGGAGCACGAACACGATCGCTAGAGGCGAATCGATACTAGACTTCATTCTAGGAAATAAACTTAGTGTCTTGAATTTAGGCTCAGAGCCAACCTTTATAACAAAGAGTAGAGAGGAAGATTTGGATATAACCCGGACTTCGGACATGTTTGCCCATAAAATCAAGAGATGGAGAGTACTTAGGGTTGCCAGATTTTTTTGGGCCGAAATCAGCACATTAGACTTTTTCATGCTATTGAATTCAGTACATTTCAGTACACTTTTATTCCAAGCAGAATTATGAATGTAAGTAGACAATACTTTTAAACGCCAGATTACTTGTTTTTCATATTATCTTGGTATATAAATAAAATGTTTTTCATAAAAATTAAAAAGGTTATTCATTTTAATATACTCATATACACATTAACATGTAGTACGAAAAACCTTTATAATATCATTGTTCCAATAAATTATTTTATATATATGACATTTTTTAATAGCAATAATGAGATCGTTTCCACTTTCAGTGTTTAAATAGTCAAAGAACTCTAAACATTATACAGTGAAACACGCTTAAGTACCTAAACCGCTTAAATAACATTTTTGGGCACCGTGAATATTTTAATGTTATCTGAAGAAAAACCCTATTTTAAGTACCTCCCCGCTTATTTACCCAACCCGCCTAAGTGTCTAAATTTTTCGTAACCCATTTACCATTTTACTTATGATTTTCCCCTTTTAAACAAAAAAAATCTAAAAAATCAAGGGTAATTTTTAGCCACTTGAAACTTGCATATTGCACTAAAATTGAATGGGCTATCAACACTTCTGAGAAAAAAGTTTGAAATTTTGATGATCATTTTATGAATTTTCTTTTCAGTGTTCTAAAAATTTTTAAGCTTAGGTTTATATGGTATTTGTTAGGGAATGAACTGTGTTTTAATTGAAATATCTTATAAATTAGTAAATATGCATAAGTGGCAAACAACATCATTTCGAATTTGGTCCGAAATGATAGATATGTCCAATACTGTATGTATGTATAAATATGTATAATCAATGACTTTAACGAATTTAATTCTTGTAAAAATTACATAACATTGCTTTATCGATTTTTTATAAACTTTTTGCTTATGTGTTTATGTTTTTAAATAATGCTACGTACACTTCATTAAATGTTCATGTTTTATTCAAGGATTGGTTTATGTAAGTTAACTAGAAGATTAACGACATCAATAATTATGTTCGCTTAAGTACCCGAATCGAGTTACTTAAGCGGATTCTTTTAATAACCCAACCCGTCTCAGTACATACCTCAAAAAGCTGACACTTTTCCTGAGGTACTTAAGTAGGTTTTACGTATTTTAATATTACTTTTAGTTTGAAGTTCACTTTCTAAAACTTTAATTAGATGTCAGTTTCTCTCTTTTCGCCAGGAAGCAAACTTTATACTTAAATAAGTTCCTCTCAGCTGCTTCGTTTGAACGTGGTATTGAAAATTACATATTTATTCAAACTGTGGAAAGATACCTCTATTTAAGGACTACATCCGTATTTCATCATGGCTTAAATTATTTTTTCAACTGCGCAAAAAACTAAGAATTCGCCAAAAGGAGTATCTAAATTGAGTAAGTCAATTGATAAAAACGAATTGTAAGTTGTAGGCAAAGCCATTCAATTATTCAAATTTGTTCTTATTAAACTGAAAGTTATTTTCAAGATAACTAACAACATTCGACAAAATAAGGCGGTCCTCTTTTTAAATAAATTATACGCCATGATATTATCGCAACTGGAAGGTAGTGGTCCGCAATGTGCCCATAAAACGATTGCTGTTTTGTATTAATTTCTTTACCTTACTTAAAACATGTCAACTATAATTAAATTATTTTCTTCTTACTTTTTACAGTAAGTTTTAAGAAAGCTCCAACGTTATGTATCTTTAGCAAATCGTAAAGTATTTTGTTTGTGTAAAATAATATTACACAAACAAAATACATGGGAAATTACCGATCACCGAGTTACCGCGTACCAAGCTCGGTGGAAAGAACCCTATTACAAATATCATTGCTCAGAATTGAAAAATCAGTACAAATCAGTACAAATTAAAAAAAAAATCAGGACATTAGCGTACTAATTGAAGGAATGAATAAAGTCAGTACGAAAGTTGAAAAATCAGTACTGTACTGATAAAATCAGTACGTCTGGCAACCGTAAGAGTACTTAGTGAAAAGTCTTACTCTGACCATTGTTATATTCAATTCGAAATAGATCTCAAGACCCCCCAAGTTAGGGAGTTCAGAAATATACGAAATACAGACTGGGTGGTTTACAACAAAAACCTGAGGACTTTATTGCCAAAGATACCACCACGGGACCCCGCCACGCAGGTGGAATTGGACGGGTTGGTTAACCACTAAAGCCATGAATAGTTCTTTGTCAGCCGGATGCCCGGTTGTTAGGTACAGGGGGAAGAACCAACCACCTTGGTGGTCAAAACAACTATCCTCGTTACGTGAATCCAATAGCACAATGTTCAAAAAGGCCAAAGCCACCAGAGCAACAGAGGACTGGGAAGCCTATAAGGCTGATTTAAAAATATACGAAAAAGCAGTTAGAACTGCGAAACGTAAATCATGGCAGTTATTGCAGGGAAATTGAGGAAACCACGGAAGCGGCCATATTAAGAAGAATTATTGCAAAGTCACCAAGAAACTCATGGACTACGACGAGCGAGGAATCTTTAGGTCTCCTCATAGACACACACTTTCCAGGTAGCAAGCCGATGGAACTTAACGACCCCACAAATGACGGGAGGATATCTGTTCTAGGAAATCTACTGACCACTAAGGCGAAAATCGAATGGGCTATTAAGACTTTTTGTCCTTACAAGTCACCGGGACTTGACGGCATACACTGCAGAAATCACGGGGTATTATCTCCCCATTCATTGCGTCTATTATAAGAAGCTGTGTTAACATGGGCTATGTTCCGCTAGGCTGGAGAGAGACAAAAGTCTCCTTCATACCCAAGGCAGGTATGTCCTCTCACATTAACCAGAAGGACTTCAGACCCATCAGTCTTACGTCTTTTTTGCTCAAACTTTTAGAGAGGATAGTGGATGATTATGTATGGGGCGTGATACCAACTAGTAGGCTCTCCCCAGCGCAGCATGCCTATACGAAAGGCAAATCTACGGAAACCGCCTTACCGTTGAAACACAATACCGACGAACGGCGAATTTTAGCAAAGTAGTGCGACGACGGCGGCAACTTTCGCTCAGTAGAACACAACTACGGCGACAACGAATGTAGCTGCTTATGACAAGGTTCAATTAAAATTTTTACAAATAATAAGATTATTAATTTTTAACAAACCTAATACAGTATTTTTCAATTTCGATTTAAAAACTTGAGAATATTTAGCATATGGCCACAATGGATCGTATTTTGTCGCTGCCACTTGCAACGACGATAGAAATAAGTCTATCGTTGCGAACACTCGTCGGACGAACGTCGTCGTTTGCTTTGGTTGTGTGTGCTCATTTACAGCGAACATTCGCAGCGAAAAATTCGTCGTTCGTCGGCATTGTGTTTCAGCGGACATGATGTTTTTCAATAAAATTCTGAAGTAGGGCTTTCTTGAAAAGTCTTTTAAGATAGGGCGTTTTCGAACTGGCTGCGATCATATATGCGGCGTTCCATATCAAAATGGACGGGTTTACACTTAATGCGTTTGATTAGTTTCAAAAACTAATGTTTTTATCAAAAAATTTGTATGTGAAAAATTTTTCACGAAAAAAAAATTTTTTTTTTCATAGAAAATTTTAATGTGTGTATGTGTGATTTTTTTTTTGTAATTTTTTCCTCGCCCCGTTTTCGAGAAAACTATTAAATGGATTTGTTGTTGGCTTTGTGCTGTAAGGTTTTCAAAAATGTATTAACCAAGCTCAAGCTTCATATTTATTTATTATTTATGTTTATCCATCAACCCTAAAAATTTTAAACAAATCAAGCACATGGAACGCCCCATATAAAAATGCGCGAGTGCGTTCTGCTCACTTTCAAGAATAAAATCACCAGCGAATTTCAATTTGCATTCGATTTACATGTTAGTTGTCACTATTGTTATGTTAATCCGGTTTCACGTGAAGTTATAACATCTTATGTTGTTATAATAAGCTTTGCCACGATTTTATATCAAAAATGCACATTTGATTAGGATTACTAAAATATGCTATACGGCGGCTATATTCTCTGCGTTTTGTGTACTCTCCTTCTTCGTAAAATATTTCAGCGAATCAGAACTCACTTCGCAACTACGTCATTGGAGGAAAACCAATTTTTGACAGCACCATGTCGTAACCTTCTATTCTATGAACCTTGCCTTCTCATAGTTGTCTAGTAGTGAGAACCGACTTTCGGAGCCGTATTTTTCTCTTTATTCCATGAGAGAGATGTTTTCAATTGTCATAATCTTCTCAATGTCTTGGCGATGTACACGTACCGGACACGAACGCTTTTTCGAAGTAAGATTAGATGCGCCACATAGCAAACAGTTCGTAATGCCACAGGCCGGATCCCAACGTGGAATATTGCCACATTGTAATCACCTCGCCTCTCTAGCCTTATAAAAAGCAGCTATGTGTCCCAGTCTGCCACACTTTTTGCACTCCCTAACAGCTGGTACAAAATAGTCAACCTCACAGATGCATTTAAAAAGTTTAATTTCTTTTGGAATTTTGTTCCCCTTGAAGGCAATTTTAATGAGGTGGTGGGTATTATTTCATCACCCTCTCTACGACTAAGTCTACTAACTGACACCACCGGTATTTCGCTTTCAATATTTTCTAGTAATACCTGTTCGGAATATTTATGTGGAACTCTTCTAATTATGCCATATTTTTCTGTGAACGATCTGGGTATGTATGCCTGGAGGTCCTTGGCCTTGAAGTCGTTATTTATTACAAAGTGGTTTGCATCGTTTGCAGAGTCAAAAGTGAGTTTAGCTCGTCCATTTCCCAGGGCTCTTAAATCAGCTAAACCAAATAATTTTTGTCGGGCAAAACCTCTACAAATACTACAAATTTAACCTGGTCATTCGGGTCATAAAAATGTTGCAGCTTATCTACACGAGTCGTTAATTCGGGTCTCATTCGACTAGAATAAGCTATAGCCCAGCAAACACAGTTTCAAACGTTTGAGAAAAATGTATTTCTCAATTTGATATCAAATGTTTTTCTCAAATGATTCTCAAATTGAAAAAGAAGGTTTAAATTTTATGTTTGAAATTCATTTGAGATTGATTTTAAGAAAGATGTCAAGTACAAACGTTATAAAAATGCGCAGTTAAATCAAAAATTGTAAGAATAAAATTAAGATCAATTGAAAAAAAACAATGAATAGAAAAAATTTGAAATTCAAAGCCCACAAATAGTGGATTTGATGTTTGCGCGGATTGAAAAAGCTGCAGCCCTTCAAGACGAATTTATTATACATTATTTTATCTTAATTGCTTCTTTTGTTACGTACATACATATGTACATCACGAAGAAAAAATAAATATGAAATATACATTTCCTTTTATAAATTTTATTTCCACATTTGAAGTACATTTGATAAATAACTTTTCAAATTGATTTGAGAGTTAACCATATTCTCAAGATCAAACTCCCCTTTTTATCGAGAAAGCTGTAATTTTCAAAGCAATATCAAATCATTTTCAAACGTTTGACATTTGATAAAGGCTTTGATTTCAAATCATTCTCAAATGTATATCAAACCTAATTGTTTGCTGGGCAGGTTGCTCGGCTTGTGGGCCCGGAACGGAACCACACGAGCCGCCCTTCACCTCCATCGAAGCTCTTGCCACACACACTTTCTTACGACATACACTCTTTGCACTTGCTAGATTTGTCTTTTTTTAATTTTCTCAGTCTTTTTAACGCCTATAGGCAAAATACACAAACTCAAAGAAAACTGTCTTTAAAATTAAATTGATTTTTTTTGCAAAAATATGTATTTAGTATGTTTCAGAGGATTAGCTTATCTCGATTTTGATGTTTTGTGTTATTTTTTCCGTCGAAAGGCAGTTTTTAGTCTACAGAAGTCAAACAACGCGTCTGTCTCAAGTCGGCGCCAAAAACGAGTGCGAACCAAAGCACTTGCTACAACTGAAAGCTTCAAAATCAACTTTATGCAAACCAGCGTTGTCGTTTTGATACAATTGTATAATTTTTGATACTTTTTTTTCTAAATCTTAGGATTTGATACTTTGATACTTTTTGTTTTGATAATTTTGGCTGGCAGAAACGAATTTTTGAAAACTATGAATAATATAACTAGTTTAGACGTATTTATAAGTTTGATTTGGTAACTCTTATGAGGGAAATACAACCCGGAATTTCTTTGCACGCGCCGCTGTTATAGGGCCACTAAACCACATAAAAACATTGCGCAATGTCGGGCTTGCGTCGGTCGTTTGTGTGGGGTATGTGGTTGTTTGTACTAAATTGCACACTTATTGCGCTACATCAAAATCATTTTGAAATTTTGCTCATGCTTGTCTTATTTTACAATAATTTGTGTAGCGTATGGCGAGAACTGCGCAATTTTTAGTCTAGTTTTGACTTTTTAAAATATGGATAAGAGCGTAGAAAAAAAACAATTATTTTTTTTTTAAATATTATTCTTTTGCGTTTTAAAGCTAAAGCTATCAAAATATTTAACGCACATTCATATTTCTTGCACATATTTACTTGAGCAACGTTTCTCCAAAATAAGGTTTGCGCAATTTTATGGTGTAGTAATTTCCACAATATTGACTTGTATAAGTCTCGGGTTGCGCAATGATTTTGTGTGATTTAGGACCCTATATGTATGTAAGTTTTTATTTTCGTTATGCAAATAAGCAAACAGATTATCTGTTTTTGTTAAAGCAAATAATATTAGTTTTTTTATAACTATGGATTTAATTATAAAATTTAATTTATTATTTGTTTTTCAAATAAAAGTTTAAAAAATAACAGTGGTGTATGCTTTTGATACTTTTTCTGCTTGGCAACTGATACTTTTTTAAGCTCGCGGCAACGTTGTATGCAATCGCAGCGGGTTTTTTTTGAAACTCTTGCTCTGCTAATGGGTTAAAAGATTTAAAAGCATATCAGAAAGATGAAAAACAGACACGTAGCGGGTCTAATATTCCTATTGTATGCATTGGTATAGAAAAAATTTCAACTGAGTTTGAATTTTCATCTTAACACCAGTTTATACGGCCATATAAATACGCACTTTCGAAATTATTTAATTTTGCCGTTTATCTCCTTTCAAACTGCTTATAAGATTTTGATTTTCACCTTTTAGTTATAATAGCTTTTGCACTTCAGTTTTTTTTTTATATAAAATTGCAGTCCTTGATTATAATCTCTAATTTAAAAGTTTTCGTTTAGCAATTTTTCCTCCAATAACTAGGTTTAAAACACACGACGAGCCGTGAAATATAACAACTGATTTCGAAACTTGCCAAAAATTTCCCTAGTATGAAGATTTTGGCACTGAACCTATTATGGTTAAGGATTAAATTTTACTTTTTTCTCATTCTTTAAAAAACGTAAAAAAATACCAAATACTAGCGCTAGTGTGGTGGTTTTAGTTTGCTAGAGAATTGAATGAGTTTTAACACTACATCCACGAAGAAAACTTGCGGACAATCCAGTAGATGCACTAAACCAGACATGGGCACTTTTTTGCCCGCGCAGTAGCGAAAGTGCGAGCGCGGGCTGGAGATAGGGAAAAACAGTTTACGGGAAGAAGGGTATGAAAAGTTGCGAAAAAATTATTTATATCCCACTGACATCATGTTCATCGCAGTACGGCTGCGTAGAGTTGTCAAACTATCGATAGCATTATCGATAGTTTAAATTTTTTAGACTATCAATACTTATTGATAGTTTTTTCTTATACTATCAAAAATATCGATAGTTTAGTCATCGATCATCTCTCCCAATTTTTTTGAAATTATACATACATATGTTAATCGTAAATCCTGTTTTGGTTGTATAACTTGTTTGTTTTTGAACTTTCTAAAAAGAGAAGTATTTTGGCTAAGCAGTTACTTAATTTTGAATGCTTATAACTTTTATAAGATAATATTTATTTCACTATGATCCTGTAAAAAAAAGCAACCTAACTAGCGCTATTGATAGTGCTATCGATAGTTTTTTTTTTTTGAGACTATCGTGAATATTGATAGTTTTTCTGAAAACTATCAAAACTATCGATGGTGTGACTATCGATAGTTTGACACCTCTACGGCAGCGGTAATACTGACTTTGTGTACCAAACAAAGAGCATACATGTTCCTCATATACACAATAAGCCATCGTTCGGACTTCGCTCCGATAGGAGTAGATTTGTTCCGTTTTGTCGAAAAAATTTGAAACCTAGTCCTCTACTTCGCTCAACTGAAAATCTGCTCCGCTTTGTTGCATCAACAAATTTACTCTTCAAATAGAAAGGAGGTGGGGTTTTTAATAGCATACTAAAAGTTATATTTTACCCTTTTATCGACACGATTGTTACATTGGTGAGCTACAGCAACTTTGCAAATACACTTGAATTCGTGAATAGGCCCTTACAACCGCCCGAGTTGAATCCGATCGAAAAATATTGCTCTGTCTAAAGTTCTGTAATTGCGTCGTTGCCCACCGATGTAACAATTGTCCCGGTAAAGAAAGAATGAAATAACTTTTTATTAATTTTAACCAAGTCATTTTAACTTTAATGATAATTTCTCGTTGGATTAAGGCGCCTTTACACGGGTCGGTTTTCTAGTAGATTTTTGTCGTTCAACCAAAATCGACCCGTGTAAATGACATCTCAACCACTAGCTGGTCGATTTTCCAGTCTACAGATATCGACCCTTATAAGGCCGCTTTAGCTCCTTATTTGTACAAGGATAGGAGGAGAAATGAATTGTTTTTTATAAAGATAAGAAATGCACATCTAATACGAATACTTGATATTTACTTCCATTTGTGTAGTCCGAACCCAGCTAAGAGTGCTCGGTGAAGGTCAGCTAGTGATCAAATTTGCCAACAGGGCTGCCAAACATACATAGCTATGAAGTGCCATATTGAGGATAAAAAAGTGCTAAAACGTGCCAAATAGATAATTAAAAGTGCCAAAAAAGGTGTCATTCTCTTTAATTCTTCCCATTAGCATTAAAATTAGACAAATTAAAACAAAAGCCCAATGTCAAAGTAAGATAAACCAGTTGTATACACTACAGAAATTAGAAAATTTTAGTTGAGAAAAAGAAGTACACGCAAAGGATTTCACAAAAATGTATTTAAATTTGGCTTTTTTTCAAAAGTGCCATTTTGGCATTTTGTGCAAAATTGAAAAATTCAGTGCCATTTCATGTAAAATAGTGCCAAAAATGGCACGGTTTGAGCCAAGTTGGCAGCCCTGATCGCCAAGTTTTTTATTTAAAAAAGCACCAAAATACTGAAAATAGCGCAATTTTCCCCCCAAAAAAAAAAACACCAATTTTGTGTTGCTGTGTTTAATGGTATTTTCGCATATAAAGCTGTATGTTCAAATATATTAAATAATCGCACAATGAAACTTGTAAATATTTCCAACTATGCGCAGTTAATCAATTTAATAAATTTAATTTGCAAAATGTTTTTTTATTCGTAAAACAATTTCCAAAACTTGGTTTTTCTAGAGGCTTTATTTTCATGCCATTGCTTCCTTTTGTACAAATGCGCACACCCAGCTAATTAGCAGAATATTCTATGGATTCCGTGATAGAGACTGTGTGAAAAATTGCGTTTGGATTATCTTGGAGCATAGCTCGTCCAAACACGAACATATGTGTAAGTCAAATACAATGTCACCATAGAATCACGTTTTTATTATAAAATTGCCTTGAAAAGGGCACCAAAGAACAAAACAAGCGCTACACTAAACAATATTCGCCTTTTAATTCCCTAAACCCACTTAATTTCTTGCGAAAAGCACAAAGTTGGCAACAGTTATATCGATGTCAAATTTGCTCATAGACAGAGAGTGAGCGCCTGCTTAAAGAGCGTAAGCATCACATGCAAATACATGCGAGAGCACACTGGCACACTAACACAATCACGCTTTCAGCTCGTGTTTACTTGCGGTAGTGATCACATCTGCTCATATAAATTAATAAGTTTAGGAAAACTCGAGTTAAACCTTTGGTTTCAATGTCAATCTTTATTCTGCCTTTTAACAAAAGTGCTACGCTCAATGAAACCCAACCTCGATGCAATTTCACCAACGTTTTCCGCTAGCCCATG